TGGTTTGCAACCATAAGGTCACCGGTTCGAATCCGCGTAGGGGTAGGCGTCCTCGCGGTATACTCAGCCCGCGCGTGACTGGTGGTGTTCGCGCGGCAACGAAGCGCCGTTATGGCGTACAGCTGACACATTACATTACTTACCTCGTCCATACTGTCTCCAGGAGACAGTTGGTCGTTGCTGGAGAAGACGGAGTGCACGGTTCTTGTGGTTAGGCTAGGCTCGAAGAGTACTTCCATGCCCTCAGTGTGGAGCGGACCACGGTCCAGCCACCGCCTTTTGTGCGATTGATTCCCCAAATACAGCGTGCTTGTGTTTGCCTGTGAATGAGTGTGGGCCGGCTCCGTTGATGAAACGTGGCTCCCATCCACATGCCTCCCGGTCTTATTCCTTCGTGTTTACACTGGATATGGGGTGTGTGGTTGGAGCTGTGGGTGGTGCAGCGCAAGCCACCCATGGTCCCTTTGTAGGCGCAGGCGTCCTGTGGCTGGCCACAGTGACAGGCTGATCCGAAACCGGATGCCACCAACCATGTATAGTCTTTGAGCCACTGCCCAAAATTCCTAGACCTTTTTCATTCTTACCACTTCTTCTGCATCTGAGATGTCGCCCACTATAATTCCCACACACTCGATGATGCAACCACACGTGATGCCGGCTTATCGTTGCCAACGGCACTTGATATCAGTGTACAATATGAAAGCTTCTATTTTCACCACGTTGCTTAATGTACCGTTACTAAGAAAACCACATGAACCTTTAGTTAAAATAATTGTTCGTGGACATAATTGTGCTCCTTCTGCTTCTTCTAGGGTTCCGTTGCCTACGTTCCTCAACAAGCATGGTGTCTGAGTGCAACCGTCCAAGACAACATACTGTTTGGGCGTCCGATGCAATGGAAATTCTATCATGACGTCTTGATGTGTTGTTGTCTTCGAGCAGATCTGAAGCAGTTTCCGGACGGAGATCTCACTGAAATCGGCGAGCGAGTAAGCAATCGGTTGCCAATCCTCTTTATTCGTATTAGCAAATAAAAATGGCTTTCCTCAGCAATTCTCTTAGTTAACAGACTTCGCGAATTGAGTTCCCCTCCTAAACTTCAAGGAATACCGTGGCATGCTGCAGTTAGCAAGCCTGCATATATCTTACCATAACTGACAACAAAGCAGCCCAATAAGTACTGTTGGCAGTTGCTTAATTTTTAGACATGCAGCTAAATTAGTCTTACGCTGAATCAGAGGGAATAAAAATAACAAAAAAAGGAAATATAAAAATGACAAGTAACATCGCTGCTATTAACAGACAATACAAAATTATGAGTGTACAATAATAGAAGCCTTGTTGAAATGAGTGTGGTACGCTCAGTATCCAGAATACGAAGTAGAACGTAAGATAGAGGCATTTGAGCGTGAGAGTGCGAAGGAGTGTAACTCCCAAGCAAACCGCACTATAGCTTAACCCTGAGCTAGTCCGATAATTTCGTATCCGACGTAGTCGTGGAGTCACAGGGATGTGTTTGTAACCATTAGGATATTCCTGGTTTGAAAGTTAGACTGACAACACCCATACCCTTGGCTTGTTACGCGTTTTTCGATTTGTTGAACTCTGATTGCTTTTCCTTGGCAGACATGTGTTTCGAAAACTTCAATAACGTGTTATATTACTTAAGCGAACGATAAATTTGGTCTACCGAAGCGCTTAGGTTATCATGTCTTAATTGAATATCATTTTTACTGAATCAACTACAGATATAACAAGTTTTATGGGAATAAGTCGACAGCTATTTTGATCCAAAGAATTTCCAAGTTCAACAAAACGGTATTATTAAATACACAGCCGAGACACTGCGCTCTGTTTGAGCTCCGACAGTTATGCCCAAAACATTTGCTGATTTAAAAACAATTAAGAAATTGACATCATGGAACTATGATCCGATGGCTGGAAAAAACACGAGGATTCTGTTTTTCACTATGCAATCAGTGCTCAAGAACGCGGGCCTTTTACTCGACTTATACCAGCACGCTCTGTTCACTTCCTGTAGCTATCAAAAAATTGGTATTATTCAAGACGTAATTGTAATTTGTCTGCAGTTAATAATATATAATGTTGAACATGCACCCAACTGGGTACCTGAAGCTTACCTTGACTTGACACTATAAAATTACGCGCATGTTAGTGCATTGTACCAAGCATTTAGCGTGACACCTTTTCAAAATCACATGCAGTACTTTCAACTTAGCGAGGCTAATAACGCTGTTTTGGCGTCGTTGACATTCTCATTGGTCATAGGACGTAAACCAATGGGACACCGGTTAGAAGCTGCCAGCATAAGCCACAGACATTCCAATGAAAGTGGTCGAGCATCACCTTCTGTTCTGTCTTGATGCCCATCTGAAGTAAACCTCGATGATTGGTCTCCAACCTGAAACCGTCCAATGGGCAAGTTGTGATGCCTGTCTAGGGAGGAGATCCTAGCTACCACATTATCCGAATCTTAAACCGTAACCAGTGCGGAGAGACATACTAACCAGCACATGAAGCGGTCTATACTTAGTGATCGCTAGCGGCTACCTGGTGGTGGCTTATTCAGCGGCCTAACCATCGTGGCGTAGACAGGCAATCTTCTAACCTGTATTCCGCAGTCCCTGAGGTCTGAGGAAGCCAGTCAGGTCTGCCTTTGCGGTTGGTCAGGCATGCGCCGTGCCTTGGACACTGCACACCCAAAGCTGAATGAGCAATGGCACTCCTGCCACCCGCCTAGAGGTGGTTTTAGACGGCATGACATTTTGGAAGGAAAGTAAACCAATTACATCACAGCCACCGTCTTTAGGCAAATAGCATGGGTAAGCCTATGGAGTGGATTCAAGCGATAAACGAATGTGCTATGTAAATTGCAATGCGCAATATTTATAGCTAACATTGTGATAGCACCTCGGTTTCTTTGGTTTGCGGTAGACTGCTAGCCAGCTAAGATGGGACGGAGATCTGGCATAGACCACATTATACGAAGAGGACCGTACGTGCGACACTCGCCTGAAGTGAGAGAACGAATTTTGAGCGCCTGTGAGCAAGCGGTGGATTGGATGAATGTTGCTGCATTGTTGAATGTGAAAGTGAGCACGTGCTGCAATTGGATACGGATGTTAAGATCGATGGACCGGAGGGGGCAACACGGTGGGGCTCGCCGCAAGTCCCTGACAGAAAGTCACATCGATGCTCTGATCGAGTGGGTATGAGAAGAACCGACCGTTGCCTTAGCAACTCTCCGTTTGCGGTTGAATGCTGAATTCGGTGTTGAAGTTATCATCACTACAGTTTCCAGATACCTTGACGATCGTCTTATCACACTAAATAAGTTGCACACGATCCCGGAATCCATGCACCCTTTGGCAAACAAAATGCGACGGAGGCTGTTTGTGTTGCGGCTGCTACAGTTGCAGGCAGAAGGGAGATAGCCCGTTTGGATTGCTGAGATCAATTTCAATATGTTTTGTGGTCGCACCAGGGGTTGCTCACGGAGAAGAACTCGAGCATATTGCACAGTGGTGAACAGCCGCGGGCAGAATGTGGACGTTGTGGTTGCAATGACGAGCGAGGTACTGATAGCCTTTTTCGTTTTACGAGGCAGCGTCAACAAGCGGAGATGCGCGCAGTGCGTTCAGGAACTTTTGAATTCACAGGGAGCCGCTTTTATTGATCGGTGTGTTCTGATTTGCGACAACATACCGTGCCACACAATTGTGCAGGAGGTTTTCAAGGAGGAAGGGTATCGAGCAGGAATGCTACTACGACTAGCGCCGTACTCTCCTTCGCTAAACCCCATCAAAGGCGTGTGGAGTGTTCTAAAGACGTATGTGAAGGACACCATGAGGAGGAGGTATGCGGAAGTGCTTGGAGGGTATCCACAAGGGTTCTTTACACTGGCGAGTGGCGCACACGATTTCTCGAGCAGATGTTGCTTGCAGCGAACTTGCGTTACGCGACACCACTGCGAGCAGATGGTGAGACGTGTTGCTAAGAATTAACTACCGGTGATTCATTGGAAAGATTTATAGATTGCAACCGTTTAAATAAAACACATGTGTACATAACGTTCCTCTAGTTCTCGATAAACGGGGGTATAAATTGCGTTACATGATGTATAGAATATATACAGAATACTTTGGTAGTCGCTGACATTTAGTCACCGTTTTTACTGTTCCTGGTTACTTGAACTTCTAAATCAAGTGGATTCGGATGGTTAATAGCGGGTGAGTGAACTGTGTTGCAAATGGCGCATGTCTATTCCTGCGAAGTCGCGTAGGCCGCAGTACGTTGCGGAGGGTTGCGTGCCAAGTATTTGTGCGGAGGCCCAGAGGTGATGTAACGTAATTTCGTGAATGTCTTCGCCAAGGTACAGTGCTGGACAAGCAATGCTTAGTCGACGACCTCATTCCAACAATTGCAGTTGAGTGCGGCGGGGAATAGGAAAACT